TATTCTTATTTTTATTGAAACAATATTTGTACACATTTATAGGTACAATATAATAATTTAATAAATGTATACAATGTGTAATGATCAAATCAGGGTGAGAAACACTTCCATCTCCTCAAACATTAATTGTTTCTGTGTTGGTAACTGTCATGCCCTAGTAATTATTTTGTAATATATCACACATAATTATTCTGTGCTACAGAGAATCAGAACAAATGCCTCCTGTGTTTGGGGTCCCTTATCTAACTTCTTGCTATCCTTCTCAGTCTCTAGTGATCACCTTTCCATTTTTGTCCTTCTGTGAGTGTGACTTTTTATTTTCCATGTGTGAGTGGCAATATGTGGTATTTTAATCTATATGTCTGGCTTATTTTATTTAATATAATGACCTCCCGTTTCATACACTATGGTATGAAAGACCAGATCTCATTCTTTTTAGGGCTGAATAATGTTCCGTTGTGAAGATATACCACGTTTGAAATCATGCACTTATTGAAAAATTGTAGTCCATAAATATCATTTTAATATAGTGAAAATCCTTTTAACTTCTATCTAGGTCAAGAAATAAAACATTTCTAGAATATTAATCTGCTTTATATTCATAAATGTACACTTGATTTCTCCCTGCAAAGATAACCACCCTCTGCCTTTTATGTCAGTTACTTTAATTTTAGCTTGTTCATCCACATAAATATTGCTAACCTCTAGAGTTTACTTTTGGTTGTTTTATTTGATTGGAGTAAGGGATGTGCACTCCTTTATGCCCAATTTCTTTCACTGACGGTTCATCCATGTAGCTGCGTCTTGAATGTTGCAGAAGTGTTGGTTTCCATTGCTAAAGAATACTCCATCATCAGCAGAGACAAGGGATCTATTCTTTTTAAAGTTGGTAAATATTTCTGTTGTCTCCACTTTGGAACTGTTAGTGATGATGTGTAGATTCACGTATTCTCAAATATATCTTTGGTGCTCATGTGCTCCATTTCTGTTGGGCGCATCTTTAAATGTCAAATGGTAGTGTTTTTACATGTATACATTTTTAATTTTTCTTGACAATGTTGGAGAGTTTTTCAAAGTCATTGTGCTAGTGCATGCTCCCTCCAGTGTGTACAAGAGCTCCAGTTGCTTCACATCCTTACCATTGCCTGCTCTTCTTATTTCTTTTTATTTTATGCAGACTGTATAAACAATGATAGCTTATTGTGTTTTTATTTGCAGTTCTGCAGTAATTAATGAGTTTGTATATATTTTTTGATATCTTTCTTTTAACATTTGGTATACTTTTCAATTGCAATAGAGTAAAGCTGATGTGTTGGTGTATAGTTTGATGCACTTTAATGTGTGCATCGCTCTGTATAGCACCCCCATAATCAGGGTACAAGGATTCCAGCATGCTAAAACATCCCATCATAGAGGTGACTCTGTGCAGTCACATATTTGCCTCCCTCCTAACCCCTGGAAATCCCTGATTTATTTTCTGTAGAAATAGTTTTGTCTTTTCCATAATGACTTATGTTTAGCTATAGGCAATACATTGATTTTTCTGTCTGAATCCAAGACATTTTTCCTTTTAGTTGTAATTTCCAGAAGAACATGGTATGTCTGAAATGTCTGAAATGGAAATCTTTCAAATTTGCTTAGATTCTAAATTCTAGTAATTGTATGAGTTTTGACCAGCTATGCACAATGATCTGTTTCTTTTCCTCTGCTTTGTCTGGATGACAGGGATTTTCCCACTCTAATAATCAAGGGTTATCAAGGGTTTCTCCTCTTGCTTCTAGACTAGAGAGAGAGGGCTTCTTGGGGAGCTATCCTTCCATAGTCAATTCACATGTAAGGGTTTCAGTTTGTTTTTTATCTATGTGATACTGAAAAGATGAAAATAATAAACATACCCCTGTTTTGGTGGAAATTTAAACTTCATTCCTCTTCCTTGGTTGACCTGTGAAATTTTTCTTCAGCATATTCAGATACTGATTGCATATATTTTTGCCTGGGATCTATTGCTGAATTCAAGGAGAGAAAAAGGATGAAATGTGATTATTCCATCTTTCCTGGAATCAGCACCAGAATTCATTATTTGTGAAATATCTGCTTCAGTTTTTTTTCATATGTTTCCCATTGGATAACCTTTCTCCCTCAATCTCTGTCTTTCTGTTTCACTTAAAAATAGCTCCTTAATTAGATGGTTCCTGTTAATTTTTAATAGTTCCTTTAACTTTTAATGGTTCCTTTGAATCATATATTTCTCAAACACTCAGATGAACAGAGGAATTATTTTCAATACACATCCTATTTTTTTTTAATTGGATATCTTTTAATAATGAAATAGAAAAGTGAGAATCCTTTTAGGAGGAACTTGAGATAATATCATACTTACCCCTTACATCTAGGCTTCTAGGTCTCCAACTGCCTGTGGGAGGGCATGGAAATGTGGATCTCATCATGCAATGACATTTCTACAGTTATATCAAGCTACTTGACACCAAAAACATTGTGAAATTAGTTTCTTTATCTTTACACAACTTCATATCACCAGATACATAGGTAAATGAAAGACTCTGTATCTTCAATAGACCATAAAAAACTATTTAAAACAGTTTTGAACTTCAACTGAAAGACAACATAAATTATAGTGTCTGTTAATATTTTTGATAAGTAAAATGGATCATTATTTACTTCTTTGATATTTAACTGTGAGTTTATAAGTTATTCTTAGCAAATCTTCGACATGTTAATGCACGAACATTTTCCTTATACGGTATCTTCTTCAAGAGTGTCTTTTCCATGTTATCTTTCCATGGAAACTAAATACGAATTGCTATGCTTTTAACTTGAAGGATGTTAGATCCTTAAAAGCATCATTTTTGTATGTTGCTCCTGAAACAACATCCTTTCACCTGAAATTATAGCATGTGTGATCAAGCTCATTAATTGTGCTAATGTAGCAAATTATTGAATATATGTCATGGGGGATATTTGTAATATTTAATATTCTTATGTCTAAATATATACTTTTAATAGCAATAAATATTACATAATTACAGTTTATTACTGTGATGAGGTCAATACTATGTGACTTGAGTATTTTAATTCAGGATAAAATTACAGACATTTTCCTTCCTAATCTGCTTCAAGTGGACATAGCAATTATGATGTATGGGTAAACTCTCCACCTGGCAATCGAGGTTGCCATGGTGATGACCATGTGGGCTGGAGGCGAGGTGACTCACTGTATTTTCTCCTCTTGACTTCATGGGCTGCAAAGGGGAAGAATGAGCATCTGGCCAAGCATTGCCTTTCAGGTCTCTTTGTTATCTTCTGTGCTGCCGTTTAGAAGGGAGCAATGGGCCATGTGGAGTTGCCTTATTAAAAACTATTTCTCCACATAAGAGGACGGGTAATCTGTTTGGCTAAAACACAATCTGCAACAAAACAAAGAAAATCTTATTTTATATCGTGGAGACAATGTGATTGTTGTGATGCAGCTACTGAAGCATGATTAATACCCTGCTCTTCATAATGAAGCCAAAACAAATGTGCATTATTGAGTTTCCTGCCATGTTTCTGCTAGGACAGTGCAAAGTGAAAGGGAAATGCATTATTGACACTTTTCAGGTTCACTCTGACTACTTTCTGGCAGTGAGTTACATCTGTTTTACGTCACTGTCAGCTTAGAGAAGATGTGCAGATATTCAAAGTAAGGATTTCATGACTGGATCCATCATCTGACTGCTCTGAGACCTTCAGAACTTTGGCTTGTCTTTTATGGAAAAAAGAAAAAATATAATAACAAATTTGGAATGAGGAATATATATGAAAATATATTAGTATGCAATAGTTTCTCCTTTCTGTAGTTATACATTCCAATATTCTGTTTTTCTCCTACACATGCATCCTGGTGATAAAGTTTTATTTATAAATTAGGCAAAGAGATGAACTACAATGCATAATAATGAAATAGGACAATGTGCTTTGAAGTTATTTAAAACTTATAAAATATTTATTTCTGGAAAATTCCATTTAATAATTTTGGAATGCAGTTGGCCAGGGGTAACTAAATCTGTGCAAAGCAAAATCACAGACAAGGGGGTACTGACTATGGCACTTCAAGTATTTGTGACATAACAGTTGTTAGATGAGCGTCTGCTCTTTCATCATTAAGCATCAGGCTTCCTTGTGTGTTAAACAACAGGATTTCTCTGGTGTCCCTGAGGAGTAATCTTCCTGAAACACTTTGGTTCTCCTAACCAGTATTTTAACCCTTTCTTGCAACTGGGTCAGTATAAAGAGGAAAAGACAACTACTGCTCCAAGCTTCTCACTACTTTGCGGCTCCTGTGTCAACAGCCCTGAGACGAGGGCTGTCCTTTCTAATCATGAGAGTGTGTGTTCCCCCAACTGTCCTGCACTTTCCCTTCTGTTCTGTCCAAGAGCTACAGGGCAAATGCATCAGCAAGCCCACTGGTCTTGGGCTGAACTGCCCTCCTACCCCAGTGAATTTTTTTTTCCCTCTTCTCGGCTGCTGTTTTACTTCTAATGAGAGGCAGAGCACAGGAAGAAAGAACACTTTTTTTTCTCTTTTTCATTTAGTTTATTAGTACATTTTAGGTATACAACACAGTTACATTCATCATTAGGATCTTGTACTTTTACATGATGCATCTTGGTTCTTATTTTTTCCCCATTCCCCTGCCCTCCCTTTACCCCCTCCACCCTTCCCTGTTTACAAAGACTTTGTTTCCA